TGGCCTTGTGGGCTTCCAGTGGGGAGGAAATGGTGAGACGAGCAGCAGCATCTCTGTTCAAGATGTACACCAGCTTCTGCTTCTCAATGGCACCTGCAAGGAAGGACAACAGCACCTGAAGGCCATCACCTGACAATCAAATCTGACCATACCAAGATGTAACTTGGCAGCAGAATGTCAGCACTAATTCAACTGAAGTTGACCACTGGTGTTTATCTCTGAGCCACCAACCAAACTCCAATGCCTCCTTTTACATCTTCCAGGCTGCAAGCATAAATGACAACTCCAGCCCTTTAAAGCCAGGGACTGACCCTTTTAGCTACATTTCCCCAGCTCAATATTCCATCTACAATGGCTATGGGCAGATCTACTCACTCTTTCAGCACACACAGACTGCAGGGAAGCAAAAACAAACAGAAAGAAGCAGCCAGATGTTCCACTCTTCAAAGCCATTTGGCAAGACAACTTTTCCTCAGAAACTTTAACTAAGAAAACGCATTCTTTCCTGGCACACAGCACCCCCAACATAAACACCACTCAAATATCAACATGAATGGCACAACTGTGACTGTGCTACCTCCTCACACAGGACAACCAGACTTGTTAGAAAGTAAACTGTTATTTATTGCTATTAGCAATGTAAAGAGGCATTGGTAAACTAGCACCATTCCATCTCAGCATGCAAGTAACCAGCGCTGCACAAAGCTGCCATCAGCAAACGGAGAAAGTTCCCTGCCAAGTCCCTAAAACACCTTGTGCTACATCTTACCAAAAAAATAAAACAACTTTCCCCAAGTGTCCTTCTACCCATGAAGCCTGATCAGAAATGCACCTGGCTGTCTTCAGGATACAGCTCAGAGAAGAGACATGAACTCAGAACATCATTTCAGGCCACGGGAGCTGACGTGACCACGCTGCAGAATCGATGCCTGCAATCCCATCTTCTCTCCCACACTTCAGGGCTCTGTGCAGGGCCAACCATGCCGGACTCTTTCCAACTTGTTTTAGCCCAGCATCAGAATTCACTTGTGCAGCTCCATCAGCACCGAGGAGCTACTGTGCATGCCTGCACTCTCCTTGACACATCTCACAGCCCAACAAACTGCCCGAGAAACGCTTCCAATTACACCTGGCAGACACTTACTCCGAAATAAACATCCACAAGACAGGAGGAAAGAAAAAACAGGGGGAACACAAGCTGACAGAGTGACTTACTGATCATGACAGCGCGGCCCTTCGGGTCCACAGCCAAGTACTGGCCTGGAACGATCCTGCGACATCCACTCTTGCCAAAGGTCTCCTGGTGGATCTTCTCGAACACGTTCTTGGAGGGCTGGTACTCCAGGATGACGATGCGCCCCGAGTCGCTGCCCACCACGATGTAGTCCTTGGTGCCACCCGTCAGCCTGAAGGCCATGAGGGACCGGATGACCCCAAACACCTCCACGGTCAGCAGGGTGTGAACCTTCCCCGTGTTGGGGTCGGGGCGGAGCAACTCCAGGATCTTGCCCCGGGAAACAACGATTTCTTGTTGTTTGGTTCCTGAAGGACCCAAAAACACGAGGACGAGTCAGCAACGAGAGAGCAGAATGTGCAGTTTCAGGAAGCATTGCAAGGGAAAACTTCATGGCTACCAAATGCTACAGTTTTAGGATTATGATGGAAGAATTCAAACCCACTTATTCACTGCCATCAGGTACCACTGTTGTTTGAACATCTTTTAACAGACCAAAAAATTGGACAAAATGCTACGTTAAATCTACAGATAAATCAAATTCATAGATAATCAAGCCAACCTCCTCTTGATCTTTCCACAAGTGACCACAGCTCAAGTAACACTTGAGAGCAAACAATAACTTAGCATCAAAAAAATCACACTGTACTGAAGCAGCCCAGTTTCAGCACCAAATCAAATAAAATCCACGTGTTTCCCTGAACTACCCAAAAGAGCTCAAGTTAAAAGGCATGAGGGGAAGAGAAAATTACCTGAGAAATTGCCATGGATGGCAAAGCTGATGCCAGTGGCACGCTGCAGCGTCAGGTTGTACAGAAACATGTTGGCGACGGGTTTCCTTCAGCTACTGCAGCTTCACTGAGCCTGCAACAGGGAGGACAAAAATATGAACTCTGCTAAACCAAAGGCTTAGCACAGAGAGAACCGCTGCCCTCGTAGAGCTTTACATCAGGAGTACGACTGCCACAGTTATTTGGTGTTTATTAGTGCTACGAGGCAAAAGGCTCTCCCAGAGTGCCTAGGCTGCCAAGCGGCAGACGAGCTCCTTATTGACGCGCGACTGATCAGGACTCCCAGTAATTACCGCTAATTACTCGCGGCTTTAGCTGCTCTGAAACTGAACACAATTAGGGAATCCCTCCGAGGCTGCCCCGCGCCGTCACACCTCCGTGACACCGCCGCACCTCCCCGTTTCACTGAACACGAGTCCACCCCCCGCAGCCGCTCGGGGCCGATCCCTCCCGACGGGACGAAGGCGGGAAGGAGCCCCTCGCAACCCCAGCATCAAGGGGCCGCCGCAGGTGGCCCTGAACTTCCCTGCGGCGCCGGGAGGGCGTGGAGCCAGCACGGCCCCGCTCCCCGCGGCCGCTCATTCCCCGGGACCGGCCCCTGGTCAGTGCCCGGCCCGGCCTGGCCGCCCCCCCGCCATCCTCCGGCCCAGGCCCCGGGGGGCCCGTGGCGCTCCCCCCGTCAAACCCGCGGCCCATCCCGCGTCTGGCGGCCGCGAAGCGGCGAGCGGGTTGCCGGGGCGGCGCTCACCGTGCGTGCGGCGGCGGATGGCGGCGGATGCTGCTCCGGCCTAGGCGGGCGCGCCCCGGGCCGCCTCCGCCATCAGCGCCGCGCCTGCGCGCTGCCCTCGCGCGCCTTCCCCGCGGGGCTTTCCGCGCTCCGGGCGCGCGCGCCTCACATCCCGTCCGTGGCGGGAGAGGGGGAGGCTGCCCGTAGCGGCGCCTGAATCATTTGCGGCGCGATGGCAGCCGATCCCCGTACCAACATCCCCCACCCCCGCCAAAAAAAAACAAAAAACACCTCAGCCGCCTCGAGGCGCAGAACAAACACCAGGGGAGCGTCACCCCCAGCGCTGCCGGGCGGAGCCGTGCGGCTGCCAGCGCTCAGGCACCGCTGAGGTCAGCCCCGGCGGGCCTGGCTGCGGTGCCGGCCGTGTCACTGAGTCCCAAGATGGCGGCGGCCACGGCGCCGGCCGCGAAGGCGCCGCGGGGGGAGAGCGGCGGCCCCGCCGCCTCCGCGCTCTCCATGGAACGCATCCAGTCGCTGACCGAGCTGGCGGACCTGGAGGCCGCCTACAGCCGGCTGTGTGAGGAGGAGGTGTGTGAGGCGGCAATCGGCGGGGGCGCCGCGGAGGTGTTCGCTGCTGCAGCCCGCTCCGTCCCGCCGCCGCGGTGACAGGGAGAGCGAGTGCCTCGCTGTCACGGCTCCCTTAGTTGTCTGGATCCTTTCCAGAGGTGTTTAATATGCACTCGGCCGTCCCCGGGGCCCGGTGGGCGGACGGCGTCGCCTCCGCGGGCCTGGTGTCCCTGGATCGCGAGTAGCCTGGAGATTCCGAGGCCTCGTTCATTGAAACCTCGGCCAGGGGAGGAGATTGTCGGTTATCTGGCTTAAAAATTGTGTGATGAGGTTCCCATAACCGATATTTTAAATGGCAAAAATATAAAGATTTACGGTATTAAAATGAGAGATCAGAAAGGATTTATTTGTCACATGAGTTCTGGGAAGCACTAATGCCTTTCTAGCTCCGTGTCCTTGACTTGGACATAAGGTCTGTGATGAATTGCTGGCCTGGGCAGAGCAGAAGTCACACAAGGATTTCTTTGTCCTTTTTTTCCCAGAAAGTTGTGCAGGAAGAGCTGGATGCCCTTCTGGAGCAGCAAAGCACTATAGGGAACAAGATGGTTGCTCTTCAGCGCATGGGGTTAGTGCTCCCCACTCTCTCCCCTTCCTTCTCCTCACTGCACGACCTGAACATTCCTTTCAGCGTTGTAGAGGAACATTCTCAGGAAACATCAGGCTTTAAATCAGTTTGTGGCAGGGAACAGCAGTTGAATCCTCATCCCCAGGGCCCCAGTCTTCTCAGCAGCACTGACAGAGGGGACTGCTGTGCTCTCACACAGACTGACCTGTTTTGGTGTAGGCTGGGTGGGTTTTGAAGGTCTCACCCCAGAGGTTGCCAGTTTTCAGCATCAATGCTTGGATCAGATGTCTTGTGTCAGGTGATGAAGTATTACTGCCTCTTCGTGGTGAGCTTGTGCAGGCAGTCTGGAAAGTCATCCATGTGGAAAGTCATCCTCAGTGGCCTCGTGCCTGGTAGAAGCTCAGAGCACAATTTTACAGCCTTCATCTTTCCCTTCAGAAGTGGAGACTGCCATAAAGCCCCAGTGGCTCATCCATGCCCTGTCCGATAGCAAGACACAGTCAGTCTGTGCAGCCCCTTCCAGAGCAATCAGTCTGTCCCATTCTGCTGCTTTGCCCCTGGGGGAGAGGCATGGAATGGGAGGGAGTGTTGTGCCAGGAGCAGTGGTGTCTGCAGGAATAACCGTCCCGCTGTCGCACACCGTCCGACTGCTCAGTGCCTGCACCTCATGTTCAGTTCCCTTGTGTTCCCAGCCCTAATCTGCAGCTGATCGAGGGGGATGCCCAGCAGTTGGCAGGAATGATCACCTTCACCTGTAACCTGGCTGAGAATGTCAGCAGCAAAGTCCGACAGCTCGACCTTGCCAAGGTAACTGGGTGGAGGGAGTTTGGGACTGGGCACCACCAAACCGTGTTCTGTGTGCTCACAGCACAACAGAGATGTGCTCTTTTCTCTACTGGGCAGGAAACTGCTTTGTTCTTTATTTTAGCAGGATCTTTCCGGGCTCCTGGATATTTTACGGTATAAGAGTAAATATCATAGAATCCCAGAATGGTTTGGGTCGGAAGGGACCTTAAAGCCCATCATGTTCCAACCACCCCTGCCATGGGCAGCGACACCTTTCACTAGACCAGGTTGCTCAGAGCCCCATCCAACCTGGCCTGGAACACTTCCAGGGATGCTGCCCCGGCATCCCCTTCTGTCCATGCAGCTCCTGGTACAATATCCTGGATAAGGTGAGGGCAGCCTTCACTGACACCCTTGTCAAGCACTGAGGACAGTGGAGATGGTCATTGTCACCCAACCTGGTCAGGAATCTGGGCTGTTCTCTTCCTTGTCCAGAGGCAGGCTGAGAGGTGTCGATCCCAGCACTCAGCACTGCTGCACAAATCAAACCAGACAACCTGTGGTTGTCTCTCTGGTCTGTGCCTGTTTGTTGTAGCAGAGCTGAGCTCAGCCTCAGTTTTGACAAATGCTGTTCCTCTTGCAGAGCCGTTGGTTTTATGACTTTTTAAGTAGTGTGGGGTTTCTGCTTATGTAGTTGTTTATTGTGTAGAGAAGTATTGCTTCAGTCTCTTCCTTTTTCCCCCCACACTGTCTTCTCCTCACACTTCCCTCTCCCTGGTCTGTCCTGCAGCAGGAAGCTTTACTGGGTGCCTTTCTTGCAGAACCGCCTCTATCAGGCCATTCAGAGAGCTGATGACATCCTTGACCTGAAGTTCTGCATGGATGGAGTTCAAACAGCCCTGAGGAATGAAGACTATGAACAAGCAGCAGCTCATATCCATCGCTATCTGTCTCTGGACAAGTCAGTGATTGAGCTCAGTCGTCAGGGCAAGGAAGGTGAGCTCTTCTCATGAGGTGAAGCTGATAAGTCACCCTTCCAGTAGCACATAACTAGAGAGTGCATGATTTCCCATGGCAGATAGCCCAATAGACAAAGCAGAAGATCTAGTTCTGGCCAAAGTTCTTTATATGTTATAGACTGACTTTGAGGCGAAGTGTTGTGAAGTTGGAATTAACATTAATTGAAAGAGGAGTTCCTGGCACACAGCTTTAATAGTACTTCAGGTGCTAACTAAGCAAAGGACAAAATGTTCAGGTCAAAAGAAGTGAGGGAGAAGGCCCTGTCAGGGAGAACTGTTGCAGTGTTACAGTGAGCTACCAAGCAGAGCAACTGGAAATCAAGGAGTAATTTGCCAGATCCTTAGAAGAAACGTCCTGGTGGATGTGTTCTCATCTTCCATGGAAAACCACAACATTAGCTGAGTGTACATCACACACCTACCTGTCTTTGTTTGCCTATAGAGAAATTCCAGTGTGTCTTCTGCCTTCTCAGCCTAGAGCTGCACAGTGTTGGTCTCTCTCCTGGGGAAAAAAGTAGCTCTGGATACAGCACTAACATTGTGCTGTCACTTTTCCCTTTCTTTTCTGTCTTTTTGTCCAGGAGGCATAATTGATGCCAACCTGAAGCTCCTGCAGGAGGCAGAGCAGCGCTTGAAGACGATTGTCACAGAGAAGTTCGACACAGCCATGAAGCAGGGAGACCTGCCCCAGGTGGAACGGTTCTTCAAGATCTTTCCCCTGCTGGGCTTACACGAAGAGGGGCTGAGCAAGTTCTCTGAGTACCTCTGCAAGCAGGTAACAGGGTCTGTGAAACTGCTGTGGCCTGTCTGGTCATCCAGGGGAAAGCAAAACTCAGTCTCTGTCAATGGATGTTGTGGAAAGAGGTTTTGGCTGGGGCTTGTTAATCTTAGAAACCAGCACTAGCCTCAGTTCATCTCTCTCCCTGCATTTTGTGTCCTGGGATGGGCTTTCTGGTGTCTGAGTACAGATCCTGGGGGCTGTTCGGCTTCTCCTTCTGTGTCTTGCTCTCTGCACTTGCTTAAAGCTCATACAATGAGCCTGGAAAGAGAAGAACAAGTTTCTGTCTTTTCTCAACCCTTGAGTTTTCCACAAAAGAGGAAAGGATCCTTGTTCAAAGGAGGAACAACAGCAATAGCTCTTGCAATGGGAAGGCCAGTGAAAGCTGGATAGGGCAAGGACGGGGGACCACCCTGGGGATGCAGGAAACCTTTGGGTGTTCAGCTGACTGGTCCTGTTGTCATGCAGGTGGCCAGCAAAGCAGAAGAGAACCTGCAGCTGGTGATGGGGACAGACATGAGTGACCGTCGAGCTGCTGTCATCTTTGCAGACACCCTGACACTCCTCTTCGAAGGTAATCTTCCTTCCCTCTTTCCTGATGGATTAAAAATAGGCCCTGATGAGATTGTCCATGAATTTAAATATTTTTAATTTTGGCTCACAAAATGCCTCATTCCCCATTGAGCTGCAGACGTGTCACAGCCCTGTCTTGAGGGACAGGGACAACACCAGCAGGATTTATTCCAGCCAGGAGAGGGCATCACAATAAGCAAGTTTTCCTACCTGCAGCTTGCACAGGCACGAAGTGGATTTGCAAAGGATTTGTTGGGTTCCTCCAGGAATCAGACTCTTCCCGTTCTCTGCATCCTCAAAACGTATGGGTATTCCCTGGAGGTTTCTTCAGACTTCCAGCTCTCCAGACAAACAAATCAGATCCCTTAAGGCTGAGCAGCTGTTGGTGCCTCCAGGCCTGGCTGTTCAAGAAGCAGCATGGGAGCTTGAAAGCAGAGAGAGAAGGGAATATGAATGCTCTGTGGGAATGTAGCCAAAGACAGTAATTGAGATTCTGTGACGATTAACCATCTTCTCTATGAAGTCTGCTCTAATTCCAGGCTGCACCACTGCCAAGTCACTCTCCTAGCCTGGCACCCTTAGAGCTTTCTTGGCAGTAGCATTAAAAGAGGGGGAGTGTTGCTAAGTCTTGGAGTAGAGAGTTTGTGAGAAGAAAGCAATATTGTAGAGAGACCTCCTTGGAGATGAGCTTTTCCTCCACGGAGTTCTTGCCTTTACTAATGCTTGCTCTCTGTGTGCCCAAGAGCTATCCCTAGGCTGATCTTTCCCAGCACTGCTCTCCTGTAACTTGGTGGGTGCTGAGAGCTCACACTGTGTTTGGGTGGCAGTCATGCCCCCTGTCAGGTTTAGCTTGTGTGGCTTTCTCCTGGGGAAGCTTCGTACCTTGTTTGCTGGGAGGGCAGCTGGCACACATGGCATAGCAGGAGCTCTCTTTGGGGAGAGAGAATTGGCTTCTACTCTAGGAGACTTGCACTGCAGTGATTACAGTAAACAGTGGAGAGGATGGTCCGGTCTGTGGACCTGGGTAGCTCTGCTGTGCTCTGGGAACTCCTGGTAGAGTCTCTTTTGCTTCCCCTCTCCCCACAGGAATTGCTCGCATTGTGGAGACCCATCAGCCCATCGTGGAGACCTACTATGGGCCAGGGAGGCTCTACACCCTCATCAAGCACCTGCAAGTGGAATGTGACCGGCAAGTGGAGAAGGTGGTGGACAAGTTCATAAAGGAGAGGGACTATCATAGGCAGGTAAGAGCAGCGTGACACTGGCTGGTGCAGCCAACTGCAGCCTCTATCCAGCTCCGTGGGGCTCCCACTGTCACAGAGGCAGCAAAGTTTGACCTTGTGTATTAAAAGAAACCTTGCTTTACTCCATATTTATGATGATGGCTAAAGGGGTTCAGCCTGTAGCTGTTCCTTCTGCTGCAGAGAAGGACTCATTGGGAGTGTGGTAAAGGCACCCTGGGCACAGGATTCTTTGCTGTGCAGGTCTGTAGGGTGCTTTCAGCACACCTTCCCCACTGTCTTGTTCCTGCTTAGATGCAGGGCTGCTGTAGCTGCCTCATGGTCACATACCTTGGTGCCTCTGCTGGAGTCCCCTCCCATTGTCCTCCTTGGCAGGACGAGCTCTTCCTTGGAGGAGGAGGTGAACTGATGCAGTTCCCTTCTCTGGCAGTGCTTCCTGCAAAGCATTCCTATCACCCCCAGTGAGTAAGCACTTCCTTGGGCTACAGCACGAAAAGCAGCTGGTAACTCCAAGTCATCAGCAAAGACTGATGACTCTCCCTTTTTTTTTTTGTGATTGCAGTTCCAGCAAGTCCAGAACAGCATGATGAGAAGTTCTTCTGCAGAGAAGATTGAACCAAGGTACAAAGAAGAAGTCTTTATGCGCTCTAACCTTTCACTCTTGAGCTGTTATTAACACTACTTAGCATTTAGATAACTCCCAGTCTTCCAGAGGTTTTGTGGCTACTAACACATAAAATCCAATTGTTAGGTGCCCTTCTCTGCCCTTTCATAAAGGCAGCTTCTGACTGGGGGCTTTATTTTGCTTAGTCATTACTTTTAAGCCTCAGCACTGCTGGAGGGCTGGCAGTATCACTGCACATGAAGGACTGAGACTTTAGTTGCCTGTGCCCACTGCTCTTTGATGGCCACAGTACAGTCCCTGAAACCCACAAAATGGAGCAGCTCCCTGGGCAGATAATTTATGACAGAATCAGGAATAAATCTGGGTTTTATTTAACCTGTACTGCTGCTGCAGCAGCTCTGAAACATGGGTTTCTTGCTGATGAACCACAATGCTTTCAATTTCCCTACTTTTCTTATCTTAAATATTTACACAACCCATTTGAAAGTGCATCCAGCCCTTCTGGCACTGCCTGACTTATAAACATGCCTTGAAAGAAGACTTAGGTTCCTCAAGCAAGATCTGTGTGAGCCTGCATAACTAATTGTTTCAGTGGTAATATAAAGATGTACTTACTGTTTGCTCTGAGTAACCATCCCAGGTTTTCTGACCTTTTGCTTTTTCATCTCTAAAATAAAGATAATGTTTCCTTGTCCCACAGTTGGGTTGTGAGGCTTTGAGCGGGATTTGTAAAATTCTTTTGTGCACACTGATGAAAAAGCTGCTGATGCAACAGTCTTTCTTTTTTTTCATGGTCATGTCTGATGTGACCACAGCATTCTGCACATTATCACGTGCTTTTTTGGTCTCACATTTCCTGAGCTGTTGAGCTTAATCAGATTCTTCATCATGTTCAGAGAAACACATGGATCTGTGCACAAAAGCACACATGAGGAGATGGCAGGGACCAAGCATTTCTAGCACTGGCCGCTTGGGGCTCACAGAATTTTAGCAAAACTGAGGTAGGAAAGGACTGAGGAAGGTCTCTAGTCCAACCTCCCACTCAAAGCAGGGCTCATTTTGAAGTTGTAGCAGGTTGCTTAGAGTCTTGCAGTCCTTACCACTGTGATTTTAATGTGGATGTCCTCACAGCTATGAGGGAAAAAGAGGGGGAGCGTTGCTAACTCTTGGAGCAGAGAAGAAAGCAGTATTGTAGAGATCCCCCTTTGGAAATGATTTTTTGGGGACATTTTGATCGTGTGTGCATTCTTTGCACAATTATTCTGCTGAGCTCTGCCACTCGAAGGCACAGATGGAAAGGGGCAGTACTGGTCTTGCAATGAGAGAACAGAAAACACACTACCTGACTGAATTAAATTAGTGCCTCTCCTTTTGCAGTGTTGCTACCTCGGTTCTTGCTCTGTTCCTTCCAGGGAGCTTGACCCCATTTTAACAGAAGTCACCCTGATGAACGCCCGCAGTGAGCTCTACTTGAGGTTCATCAAGAGACGAATAGTAGCTGATTTTGAGGTGGGAGATGCCACGGCCTCAGAGGAGGTAAAGCAAGGTAACACCTTGAACACCAGGACTTTCAGGCTTTCTGTTCATCGGAGCCAGAAATGGAGATATCTCTGAGGCAGTGGCAGAGCAGAGTGACACAGGATCTGCAGAGATGCTTTGGGAGCACGCTGTGGAAGAGGACTGTGTAGCTTGACCTCTCCAAACCTGTTTTCAGCACTGGTTGTTCCCTCTAGCGGAGAAACCAGCATTAGGAATGACTGTAGAGTATAACAAACAAGAGAGGGAGGGACATTTGGTCACTGCAGGCACAAATCTTAAAGGTGGAGGCCACAGGGAACACAGGCTCGGGGTTTTGGTACTCTGTGGAGCTCTGGAAATCACTTTTGTCACCTGCAAAATTCAGCTCAGCAATTTCAGCTCCACAGTTGAGGCCCGTGATTTCTTCCAGATTGGGCTTGGCAGGTGTGTGTCCCTTGGGTGTCCATCAGAGAGGTAGCAAGGGGACTTGGTGGAACTGCTTTCTGCCATTTGGTCCCTGCTGATGGTTCTCTCTTCTGTAGAGCATCAAAAATATCTGGACAAGCTCCTCAACAACTGTTTGCTGAGCTGCACCATGCAAGAGCTCATTGGCTACTACATCACCATGGAGGAATACTTCATGAGGGAGACTGTCAACAAGGTAGGGCTCTGACTGTGCTGAGAAACTCTCCGATGGTTCTCTGTGTGTGCTCCCCAGTCCTCTGCTCAGCATCCCACGGGAGGGATGCGAGTACATGGCAGGTCTGCAGTTGTTGGGAAGGCCTTTTGTTTCCCTTGGCCTTGAAAAGCAAGTGGTTGGTTCTGAACTTTGGCTCCAGACATACCCGTGGGTATCTTCCTGAGACAGATCTTCCAGGTCTGTGGGCTCCTGAAAACTGAGTGCCAGCCCACACAGGGTACAGTCCCACTCAGGGTGAAGGGGGCAGACCAAGTTTGGTCTTACAGCACTGCTCTGAGAAGGCACCATCACTCACTGGGCTCGGGGCTCTGAGACAGCTTTCTTTGCAGGCTGTTGCCATGGACAGCTACGAGAAGGGCCAGCTCACCTCCAGCATGGTGGATGACGTGTTTTATATAGTGAAGAAGTGCATTGGGCGTGCTCTGTCCAGCTCCAGCATAGACTGTCTCTGTGCCATGATCAACCACTCCACCACTGAGCTGGAGTCTGACTTCAGGTAATGCCAGTACACCAGGTTTGTTGTAACGTGCCTGCACCTCACGTTCTTCAAACAGTGTTTGCTGTCAGGTGGTGTTCCTCGTGTTCTTCACCTTTGAACCTCTGATTTGTCATGCTTGCAGGAAAGCAGTGGCTGGTGGGCTGTGGGAAGCTGGAGCTGGGCATCTTTTCTCACAGTAGTGATGATCACCTGTAGGACAAACAGGAAAAGGAATCTCATGGCCCAAAATCCCTAGGAGACCGAGTCACCACATAGCATTGGGGTGCTACTCTGCTTGATGGTACATGACCACCCCTAGTGTTCTCTGGGTTCCTTAGTGACTCAAACTTCGGGTGAGCCTGCAGAAATTGTCCTGCTGTTTTTCATCCCAACATGGGAGTGGGGAACTGACTGAAGACTGCAAGCATCTGCAGGCAGGATATTTGGGAAAGCTCAGAATCTGTGTGGTTATGTTTTTCTTTCAGCCTTTAGATGCTGGCAGGAGATATTTGCCAGCCCTCTTTTGTCCCCGTGAAGTCCCACTTACCTTGTCCAGGTCCCAGCTCAGACAGAACAACGTCCCCTGTCACAGAGCACAGTTCTGTTGTCGCCTGCAGTTATTTGCTCTAAGCCCTGGTATGTTCTGCTTGCCCATAGGGAGGTTCTGTACAACAAGCTGAAGCAGGGCTTTCCAGCCACGACGTTCCAGGACTTCCAGAGAGGGGTGACCAGTGCTGTGAACATCATGCACAGCAGCCTGCAGCAGGGCAAGTTCGACACCAAAGGCATTGAAAGCACCGACGAGGCCAAGCAGTCCTTTCTGGTGGGTTTGGTGGCTGTTCTGGTGTGGAATGAGTTGGGGTGGAGGGAAAGGCAATGGGGAGCTCTTGGGAACAGCATTGATGTGACTATGGTGTCCAGAGAATCTGAAAACCTGTTCAGGTATGGTGCGTGGCCTGACTTTGGATGTTGGTAGATGCTTCTACCTCACCTCATGTTTGTAGGGCTTCCACACCAATTCACAAGTGTGATACCATGAGTGTCTCTTGGGCTGCTGCAGTGATGGTTCCTTCTGGGCTGGGGAAGAGTCTGAGCTCTTTAGAGGTGTCCATCAATCCTGTTCTTCACAGGCTCTGCACAAAGGTGGTGGGGGAGCATCTCATCCACACCTTCCTCCAGATAAGAAGGTTTCCTGGCCCAAGGTCAGGGCTCCTGCACTTTCACTTAGCATGTTGGAGAGTTTCCATTAGAGCAGGGTTGTTTGCTCTGCTGGGCCTGCAAGATCCTCCTGTTGCCTTCTAACAGCAGTACTGCAGCTCCCTGTGTGCTTGAGCAGGCCAGAACATGGCAGGGAGCATTAGAGACCCCTCAGAGAGCGTCTGAAGGGCCATCACTCCTGTCTTCTGCAGCATAACACATCCTTCCCCATGGTGGGATGCTGTATAGACCTTGCCTTGTGGAAAAGACCTCACTGGGAGAACATCTCTGGCTCTGCCCTCTCAGGGTTTGAGCAGACCTGTGGGCAGGGACTGAGAGCACTGGAGAGGGGCTGGCTCACCTTGGCTCATCTCCTTCTCTGTAAGTTGCTGTGAACAGCCAGCAATGAAGAGATTCCTTGGAACTTTCAGTGTACAAAGAGAGAAGGCAACAAAAGGAGCAGGAGGGACTGAACTCTTCCATTTCATTGAATTCTTGGTTACAGGTGTCTGCATTTCTTGAAGCAAAGGGCTCAGAATGTCAGTTCTCCCACTGAATTTCCTCATTCATCTGTCACCTTGCCTCATTTCCCTGTCTGCACAAAGCCCAGCCTTATACTGACATTTAGTTCAGCTTCAGCAGGTAGAGAACAGTCTGTTCAGGGGAGAACAGACACTTACCTGGCAGGAGGGCTGCTGATTCCTGCATAGTTACCTGTGCTTTCCTGCCTCCCCTCCTGCTTCAGACACAGCGTATAAACCATTGCCCTCAGCCACTCTGGCTCTGTTCTTCATGACACTTACATTAAGCTGGGGGTACACCGTGGCTTCCACCAGTCACCCACAAGTCAGGCTTCACTGCAGCATCGTGGACAGAATGATGAGAAAAAGGCATAAACTGTCTCAAACTCTGTGCTAGCTGCAGGTTCTGTAGTTTGGCTTCATGCAGCTCGGTGAACCTGCAACGCTCGGATCTCACAGTAGCAACTCTGTCCCTTAAATATTTACATTTCAGCCTGTACTGCTGGCAGGGCATGGAGTAAACATATGGATTTGAGGCTGAGGTGCTGAGAAATTCCAATGGATTCTACTTGGGTTTGTTTTGATTTTTTCCCCAGGTGACCTTAAACAACGTGGAAGTCTGCAGTGAAAACATCATGACCCTAAAGAAGACGTTGGAGGTGCGGTCTGTGTTCTTCACTGTTTTTTCCTAAACCAAATTTGTAATATCCTCTCTTGGCGGGGGTCAGGTAAACCATCTGGACTTTGATATGCCCAAATTCCAGAGGCCTTTGCCCTCCAGCCTTAGGAAAGCAATACTGAGCTGGCAGAGCAACTTCCAGCTGATGGCAGCAGCCGGAAATATCATTTCCTCCAGCCTGACCAACCTGGTGCAGGAATAAAATGCACATCATGGAGAGGCTGTGGTTCTCTGGTGCTGGGCTAGACAGCCCCTGGCCTCCTTTCCTGCTCTCCCTCTCTCTCCCCAGCTGGAGCCAGCTGCCTGTGCCTTTGCAGGGACAGGAGCTGTCCTAGCCCACAGGCTGGTGGGCATCCAGAGCTCGGCAACACAAGGGGATAGAAACTGCCCAGGTTATTAATTTGCAACTTGCTCACGGATCTCTTCCTTGCAGAGTGATTGCAGCAAACTGCTCAGCCAAGGCTTTGGGGGTGAGCAGGCACAGGCCAAGATTGAGAGCTGCCTGTCAGACATGGCTGCTGTCTCCAACAAATTCCGTGACCTGCTGCAGGTGAGTGCCTGGAGGAGTTGCTGCTGGCCCCCAACACTGGCTGCTGGTGTCTTCAGGGAGAACTCAAGCAGGAGTCAGGTCAGCCCAGGACCTGACCCCAGGAGTGCTGGGTAGGGGTGCAGTCAGCTTTGAGGCGTGGGAGCAGCCCCAGCCCGTTTGCACAGCTGCACCAGCTGGCGACTGCAGAAAAGCACTGGAAGCAGCTGCAGAGCCAGAAGGAATGTTGCTCCATTTGTCTTCTCTCAGCACGGAGTTGTAGTTGGTTCAGCACTTTCAGGAGAAGAAATATTAATAGCATTTCCATCTCCTCCATTCTCCCTCGTGGCACAGCACATTGTCAAGTTGTCCACAGCCTCACTAAGTAACGCTGAAGACAGGCAGTTGGTAGAAAAGAGCTGCTCTTTTCTCAGGTTTCTCCTCCTTTCCCAGATGGAAATACTCCTCGGCATGGAGTCTGGCTAAATCCAGTCTCCTGTGGCATCCTGGGGCCTCTTGTCCTAAAATTTCACAGTGGTCTCTGGCAGGGAGAGACACAGGAAGACCTAGTACCTCCTGTGGAAAGAAACCAAGCAAAAAGAGTATTTTCAGCAAGGTTTGCCTTTGTTCTTCACAGAGAGGCCAGGCTATTTTTCATTTGGTTTTGCAGTTCAGGGCAGCCAGATGTCTTCAGAGCAGCATTGCCAGAAAACCCTCTTGGTGCTTGTGGTCTGTATCAAACCAAAGAGCTTGTCAGTAGGGAGTAAAATTCTCCAGACTAGCTCTAGTGCACTGTTAAAACTGGCTGCAACACAATCAAGAGGCTGAGCAGCAAATTCCTGCACTGTATGAATCACACACACATTGAATTTGCCTTGGAAAAGGGCAATTGCCAGCAGGGCCTGCTCACAAATGCCAGTTTTAGTGAAAAACTTCCATCAAATGCCAGGCAGTATCAGTACCTGCATAGTTTCATGCTGGGTGAGCTTACTGAGCCAAAGGGGGGTGTCTGAGAGGAGAGGCCTTTGAGAGCTCTTGAGCATCACAATGGACAGAGGAGGCTTTGCTGACAGCCTGCTGCTCAGGGGAGATGGCGTGTTGCTGGGGTTATGATTAATGCAGGGAACTCACTGTGGGTACAGCTTTTATCCTCCTTTTAGCTTCTATTGAGCTAAGCTGCACTGGAGGTGGGAGGCATCAGCTGAGTGCAATCACATTGACCTGGCTGGTGCTGAGTGGAAAAGCTGGAGTTTGTGGCTTTTCCTGTGTACCTCACTCCTGCCAGGAAACCTCTGTAGCTGTGCAGGATGGGCTGGGGGAAGCAAGAGCCCTTCAGACCAGGCTGCAAGTCAGCACAAAAGCAGCTTCTGGGCCAACATCCTTCCTCTTCTTGTTGTGGTGTCCTCAGAGCCTGCCGGCACTGGAAAAGTGTGGGATTTGGGACTTCTGAGTTCAGGTTCCTGTGCAAGTCTGTGGGTCGGTTTCCCCAGCTTGCAGTGAGGATGGAAGCATCAACACATCCTAGCTGTAAAGGTTTTGTGCCTCACTGTCCTCTCCTCTTGCTGTCCCCCTCAGGAAGGTCTCAGTGAGCTGAACAGCACAGCCATCAAGCCCCAGGTGAAGCCCTGGATCAACCTGTTCCTCTCTGTCTCCCACAACATCGAGGAGGTAAGGCTCAGTGTTCTCTGCTTCCAGCTGTACCTGGGCATTCTTCATCCTCTGCTCAGCAGCACAGTCAGAGCAATGCATTCATTCTCCTCAGTTACCTGCTGTTTCCTTGGCACAGAGCAACAGTAAAAGACCCAGATCTTCCTCTGCAGCTGAGCCTGGAAAGGGACATTTGGCTAGAGAGGAGCTTGAGAAAACGGAAAGGGTGCAGAGCTGCTCCAGGAGGAGCAACCCTTCCTGTCCTCTGGGCTGTTGGCTGCAGTTCACTTCAGGCCACATAAACAACCTTTTGCATTTCTCTGTCAGGAGGAGTTCAGCGACTATGAGGCCAACGACCCCTGGGTCCAGCAGTTCATCGTCAATCTGGAACAGCAGATGACAGAGTTCAAGGTGAGAGAGGAAGGGAGGGAGATGGCAGCCTGCCAGGTTTTAGCCAGACCTCCACATGACATCTCCCAGCTCCTCCCCTGCTCAGGGGAATGGCAGGCAGAGATGTCCTCCAGTGCCCTGCAGGGCTTTTAGGGGTCCAATCACCCCCTTCTCCTGCAATTCTCAAAGCCTGCTTGCAGCCCCCATGTGCCTGGATCACTTCTGTGGCGCTCTCCACTTGACAAGCCTGCAAGTGATGGGTCGTTATTTGAAAGCTCTCCTAGGCTTGGGGTTTGGGGACCTCTGCTCAGTTTTTCTTGACAAGAATGACACAGGTTTCTGCTTCCAGGCTGGACTGTCTCCAGTGATTTACGATACCCTCACTGGTCTTACAACCAGTCTCATAGCCATTGAACTGGAGAAAGTGCTGCTCAAATCCACTTTTAGCAGGGTAAGCAAAACACCCCTCTACCCTGTAATCTGGTTTGACTCCAAACCCTTTGTAAAGGAATGGGGCAGGTCAGAGGCAAACGTTACCCACAAAAAAGCTCTACAAACAGCAGTGGCCAACTCAGGGACATCCTGTATTACCACCCACAAGGAGAAAGTGTGTTATGTGATAGGCCTGAGAAAAGCTGGCACCAATAAGGGGGGGTGGCTTTAATGGTGGGTCTAAACATAAGCCATTTTAAGCTGCAGTAAATGGTCTAACTGGAACCCTCCTGCTCAGAGACCTCCCCCTGCTACCCTGTAACTTTTAACTGTGTCTTTGGCACAACCCCTGGGCCTGCTTGGAGAGGTAACAGAGCTCCCTCGTGCCCACAGCTCGGCGGTCTGCAGTTTGACAAGGAGCTGAGGTCTCTCATAGCCTATCTCACCACAGTCACCACCTGGACTATCCGCGACAAGTTCGCCCGTCTTTCCCAGATGGCCACCATCCTCAACCTGGAAAGGGTGAGCTGCACTTGGTCTGCTTTTACTGGGGGATTGTGGGAGCCCCAGCTGGACTCCACGTGGCTTTACTGAGCTCGTCCAGGTGTCGTCACACCTCCAGGGCGTGGGGAAGCTGGAGAAGTTGCCCCGTGCCTGATGGGTGCTCGCCCGCGGGGTTAGTGGCAGAGTTTGAACTCACCTGTGTGGGTGGTCTGTGCTGAGTCGTCTCCTACAGGTCCCTTCTTTTCCAGGTGACAGAGATCCTGGATTACTGGGGCCCGAACTCGGGCCCGCTGACCTGGCGCCTGACGCCGGCCGAGGTGCGGCAGGTCCTGGCTCTGCGCATCGACTTCCGCAGCGAGGACATCAAGCGGCTGCGCCTGTAGTCGGTCGGTGCTTGTGCCAGCACCACACTCGAGGGAACGGCAGGAAAGCTGCAGCCCCGAGGCCTGCCTGGGCCCTGCCCTGGCTGGCTGCTACACAGCATGGGGGTGGGGTGATATCTGCCCTTCCACTCACATTCCTTGGAGCAAAGGGCTTTCCCGGGCCTGGCAAGAAGAGCTGACACCCCTTTGTGGGAGCAGAAACAAGGCAGCAGAGGAATCTTTCTCAGAACACAGGCTAGTGCCAGCTCCTAACTCCCTGCACTCTGCTCCCTGTGGGAGGCCACAGGACAGGACACTTGGGGGCTGCTGTGGCCCAAAGATGGGTCTGCAGAGCTCTGCCTGTGCAGCTGCTGCAGTCACGTGCCCTCTGTGCCCCCAGTTTAAGGGTCAGCTACTGGAGTCACAAATCCTGAGCCCTGGTTCTCTCCTGGTAGTGGTGTGGACTGTTCTGCTGAAGGGAAAAGGAGTGATTTCCTTGGGAAGGTACTTGAAAAATCACTAGAAAGCCTCTGTGGGAAGCAGGGCTGTGTCCCTGCTGGCTCGCTGTGCCCTGTACAGCTACTCTGTAAATAAACCTCACCTGGCTGAGCTGCAGTCTCGGGTGGTGTGTGCATCCATGGGCCTGGAGAGATGCTGGACAAGAGCTCTGCTCCATTTCTCCTCTTCTACCCTCGCCAGGGTATCCAGAGGATCTTCCTGTCCTGCCTGGTGCTGTTCCCATCACCTAGGGCTGTGGAGGGCAATGACCAGCCCCTGCATGCAGTTTCTGCCATTCCCACTCCTAGAAAAGCTTTGCCCATGCATTGCTGGGCTCTTGCTTGGGACAGAGGGGCACAAACACCTGCTGGGAACAAGCTCTTTTATTCAGACTGACTGCAGGAATTAGTAGCTTGCTTTCATTATTCACTATATCAATGCTGAAATAGTCCCTCAGGACAGGAGAGGGTCTTGATTCCACATCCAGGTGCATCCTTGGTGCAGGAGCATTGTGTGCTGAACAGGCAGTGTGGGTCCCTGGTGCTGGAAGAGCAGGAAGGTTCCTGCCAGAGGCAGCATCACAAATGCTAGTCTTTTCCCTTTGGAGAACAGTAAAAACTGGAGTGAAACTGCAAAATCAGGCTGGAGGCCCTTGCAAACTGTCCTTCCAGCAAGGCCATCCTCCAAGGAGAATTGTGCCTGCCCAGCTCATCACAGCTTCTCCAGCCTCTGTGGCTTTTGGGGCAAGCAGTAGCACAAAAGGCCATATCAAGACCTAAGGCACCTGCTGGAGCTGCCCCTAAAGCAGTGAGGATTTCCTGTGTATCTGCCAGGAACTAGCCAGGGCTGAAGGCCTTCACACAGCCCTGTCCTCTCCAGGGTGAGCACCATCCTTCGTATCACATCCCACAACCTCCACGGAGAAACCACCTGTGTCCACCTCGATGCTGTGGATGCTGAAGTTGCCCAGCCCCTAGAAAAATAAAGAGTCACTGGTTGGGACAGGAGCCAGCAAGGGACCTGTTCTCACCTCCGAGGTCCCAGGGAGGGCACTGGGACAACCAGCCATCACATCCCACGCGCGGTAGGGCGAGATGCTCCTCGTCCTCTCTTACATAAAGCTCCTGCAAACCGCCCGTGACAGTGAACCTCCCGGGAGCTCACACCTCACCTCCGTGCCAGCGAGGATCTGCTGCAAAGCCTCTCTTTGCCGCGGGGCTTTGGTTAGGACGTAAAGGAAGCCACCACCGCCGGCCCCGGCCAAGCACTGCCCGTGGACGTGGGGCCGGAGGGTGTCCATCATGTGCCCCACGGCCAGCGGCTCACACCCAGGGGCCATGACCTTCTTCTGCTGCCAGTAGCGGTCCAGACACTTGCCAATGAGCGGCAGGTCACCTGCAGGGAAGGGGAGATTGCAAATTACTTGTCTCTGCTTCTCGCCCGAAGGGCACAAACCTGTCTCTGCCTCTCCTGCTCAGCACAAGCTAAATTCTGCCTTCTCTCCCCAGTTCCTCCCAGCTCTGCCTGCCGAGCAGGCAACCCCAGCCCTGTCATGTTGCTGTTTATTTTTAATCCTCCACAGGGGGAGGATTTGCTTGCTTTAATGCTCTGGCTTCCTCTCCACAGCATCCCAGTAGCCAAGTGAACCCACTGCACAGGCCAAGAATGGCCCTCAGCCCTGTCACCAATGGCTCACAGAAAATCAGCCAGATACAGCATGTCTAACCCTCTCTTCCTCAAAAATCTTCGTTCAAGCCTGAATTTTGGGGCGTTGCCTGGCGAGGGTGTGTCTGGGGGAGGATTTGAGACTTTTCCAGCTGCAAGAGCCTGCACCCATCAGCCTTTGCCCTCTCCAGGACTGCACAGCCTCTCCCCAGGAAGTTTGTGTTCCTTCAGCTGTTAAAAGGGCTGGCTTGGCACAGGGAAGGGGATTCACACCTTGCCTCAAGGCCTGGGCACACTCCTCAGCGTTGCTCACCAGTGCATCAGTGTTTTGCACGATGGAGGGCAGCCTGGCATACCAGTTCCTCACCACATCCTGCAAGAGGCCAGAATGTCCCTGTCACCATCCCCCTGGCTTCGGCAGCACCTGGGGACGTAATGCTGCACCCACAGCCTTGGGTGTCAGCTCCCACTGGGGTGGCAAAGCTCTGCACCAGTGAAGGGGACAGGCACCAAAGGCCACAGGGGGAGCAGAGGCCAGAGCCTGTGACACCCAGGGGCACCCAGGCATTACCTGGAGCAGGTTGCGGGCCAGGCGAGTCTTCCCTGTGTACACCAGCAGCAAGTGATCACTGAGGGTCTGGGTAAAACCGTCAGGCACCGGGATCTGCTCCACTTCCACCCTGAGGGGCAACTGGGCCTTCGACCTTCCGATTTTGATGCCAGGGACAAGCCCACCAACCTGGTCCTGCCAACCACCACCTGCAGGGCAGAGGGTCCTCAGCCACCACTGGGACACCCACCCCGTGGGCCAGCTGCTCCCCCAGGCCACTACCTGTTGTGAGCCTCTGCTCCAGGTGCAGCACGGCGTGGATGAGGGACTCGGTGCTGGCAGCCTTCCCAGCCGCCCGGTACAGCGATGCCATCACCGCTCCTGCCAGGATGCTGCTGGTGCCTGCAGGGAGCACAGGCAGGGCAGTGAGGCACTGTGTGTGCCTAAGGGTGGGCAGCGGCAAGGGGGATGCCCCATCCTGGTGCTGGCAACTCTCTGGTGCAGGAGGGACTGCCCAGCCCTTTCCTTGCAGACTTACCCAGGCCAGACCCGTGGGGCAGCTTGGACCAGGTGTGCACTTCGAAGCCACTCCCAAAACTCTCCATCAGCTGGACCCGCAAGGGTTTCTGTGAGGGGAACTGCACGACCTGGGTGCAGATGAAGGCAGCTTTGAGCAAGGCTCCTGAAAACAAGAGGAGGTAAAGCTGATGCCTGCTGTGCTACCTGCTCCCTCATCCCATTGTCCCCAAAAACCATGGCACCAAGAGGCCATGGCAGGTGCAGAGCTGGGCTGTGCAGGTGGGGACACCTCACCTGGTGCATGTGGCTGGCAGTAATCCTGTAGGTGCTCCAGCTCCTGGCACACCAGCTCCGTCACCGCCTGGCTCGGTGGGGCCCCGCTGAGGCTGACGAGGCGCAGCTCCGGCGTGGGGATGCGCCGCACCCGGGCACCGATGGGCCGGCACCCGTCCACCAGCACCGCCACGTCCACCACGGCCCCCCCGTGCTCGTAGGTGATGGGGGGGGTGTCACTCCAGCCACCTGGAGCCAAGGCTCAGCATCAGCCCCCTCAGGGCACCCCGACTCCTTTTTCCCCAGCACCACAGGGGCGAGACACGGATCATCTGACTGGGGGGATGCACTCACCAGAGAGGTCCAGGCGGGCTGGACAAGCCACCTGCACCCAGTGCCCCAAGGGTGGCAGCTCTGACTGCCCCACGGTGACAAACTGGCACGAGGACATCACCGCCTGCCGCACCAGGATTTGCTCGGCCCCCTCGTAATGCCGAGCCGCTCTCACCAGCAGAGCCGGCCTGGGATGAGAGGGGTGCTGAGCCCACTGCCACGTCTCCATGACTGCACTGGTGCCTGGGGCAGGGCAGCTGCTGCTTGCCAGCCCCAGCCTCACCGGCTCATCCATTTCTGCCGCTCGGCAGCCAGCTCCCGGACACCGCTGGCAATGTCCCCACGCTCCAGGCACCCAAAAGCCGAGGCCCACTCCCTGTTGGCAGCAGGGCCGCTCCGCAAGCCCCCTTCCCCTCGTGCCATGCAGCCCAGGACCTCGGCGATGCAGGCGAGCGCTCGTGCGGCAACACCAGCGTCACCAGCCGTGGAGGCAACTAGAAAATAGAATTAAAGGAGGCTGCAGGTCACCCCGAACCAGCCCGCTTCTGCCATAAGCCAACTCCAGGGGAGCGAGACTCAGATGGCTTGTGCCCACGCAGGCTTGTTGGATGCCCTGTGGGTGCACCCCCATGGGTTCCTGCAATAGGTGTGGTCACTGAAGGGGGCGGGGAGCACCGAACGGTCTAGATAGCCAGAGATGCAGCTCGTGTGAGTCCAGCTTACCTTCATCCAGCGTGCCCAGCACAGCCTCATGGTAGCCCTCGTGGACGGCACTACGGGCCAATGGCAGGAGGCTGCTGTCCTGGTGCCCCAGCAGCACCCGCCGCACCTTGCGCTGGCCCTGCAGGAAGAAAAGGGCCTGGCGGGTGCCCAGCTCGGCCGCCATGTCCAGGCAGGGCAGCAGCTCCTGCCAGGACATGCGCCAGGCCGTCCGCCAGTGTGCCAGCCGCTCATCCGCCCCCCCGGCCGGGGCCAGCAGCCACAGCACGTCCTGCAGCCCCAGCGCCTGGCAGGCGTGCAGCACCGGGAACAGCCGCGCGCTCAGCAGGCAGCGGCTCCTCCGCGGCGTCTCGGCGTCCCAAAGGTCCCCTTCCCTGATGGAGGGAGAGCCCATCAGCACTGCCCTGTGGCTCGAGAACACCTTCCAGGAGGGGAGCAGGGATTAAGGATGGGTAGGGGTGGCTGTGACACCTCCCACTGCAGCTATCCCCACGGGAGCTGGGTCTCCTGTCCCATCCTGGCACATGGCACCTACCGTATGCCAGTGCGTTGGAAAAACTCAGGCCAGGGCACATTCAGGTAGGTGGCCTCTTCCACAGGGCTCTGCAGGGGCACAGAGGGGCCGGTTACACCTTGGCTTTGAGGGGAGCCTCGTGCCCCCTCGCTGTCCCCGCACCTGCCAGTCGTCGAGGCGGCCGGTGAGAGTGAACACACGGCAGGGCAGGTCACGCAGCCGGACGTGGTGGCCCTGCAGGACAACGTCACGCAGGGGACAGCCCCGCAGGGCTGGGGAGGAGTCTGCGTCGAGGCCCGAGAGGAGGCAGCCAGGACCGATCTCCAGGGGACCCTGAGGAAGAGGCAGCAGAGCATGGAGTGGCATGGCTTGCCCCCAAACCAGAGCCAAATCCTGATCTTGGAAGGAGACAACCACCCTGGGAGATAAGCTGGAGCCAGCATGAGGCAGGTGGCAAAAGGACATAATTTGCTTCGTCACAGGGCTGTGAGGACATGAACTACAGAAATTCAGGTCAGGTGACAGCCTCCAGGGCTCTCAGCCATAACTGAGCCCTCAAGGAGAGAGTCTGCCCTCATCCCCAGGGAGGGACAGCCCAGAGGTGACAGCCTTCTCCCCTTGATTGTGGAGGTTGACAGCCACCAGCCAAAAGGCAGCCCTGAAGAGGAAGGGCACCCCAAATCTCACAGCTGTGGCTCCCCTATCCTAGCCAGCACCACATCACCCTACTGCCCTTTCAGTGCACTGGGAGCTCAGGGTCATTCCCACCACAGTCACGTACCTGGAGGTGACAGTGCTGTATGACACTGCCAGCTGCCAGCCCCACAGCTCCTTCCAGCAGGCAGTTGGTGACTGAAGAGCCATCCTCCAGGAGACGGGGCTGCTGCCGAGGGCACAGAGGCACGTGGGACCAGGAGCCAGGCACACAGCCCAGAGCAACCCCCAGAAAACCTGCATGAGCAAGGCTGGGGGTAGAAGCACATACATCCACGTGGGAATGGGCTGTCTTGCAGAAGCGGAGGTGACTGGCAGAGCCAGGCAGGAGAGTCAGGCTGCGGATGTGGTCACTTGCAGAGGTGGTCATGTAGTCGTAGGACGCATCAGGGATGCAGGCTGGGGAAGGCAGGAGAGATTTCAGCACGCCAGCAAACAATGTGGGTGTGTTTGACACACCCATGAGCCCAGGACAGGCTGAACATCCCCAGCTGAAGGGGTGGGGAGAGAAGATCTGGGGACCTGCAGTTGTGGGGAGACACAGAGAGCTGCCAGGCCCTGACCACCCCATCTTTCCATATACAGGGGAAGAGGGCCCAGGGATGGGTCACATCACACACACTCACCACAGCACTGAATCACAGAATGGCTGGGGTTGGAAGGGACATTAAAGATCATCTAGTTTCACCCACATGGCAGGGACACCTTCCACTAGAAGGTGGAAGGAAGCACTCACCCATGCTAAGAGGGAAGCCACGGAGAGCTGTCCACAGCACGGAGCGGGCGCTCCTCACGCTGGCATCGCTGCCGCCCTTCACAAAATCCTCCTCCGTCATCCCCCCTGCCATGCTCAGCACAATGTCAAAAAAGAGGGAGAGCTGGGAGAGAAGGGACTTGTCAGGTGCAGCCAACCTACTACTGGATGCTCCCTCCCACCATTTCTCCCATCCAAATCTGGCGCTGTGGGTGCAAATAGATCCTACAGAGATGCACAGAGGAGGCACCCATGTGGCAAGGGGTCCCATCCCCCATGGAGGGACTGTCACCTGGATGGGAGGTGCCCCTGAGTCCAGCCCCATGTAGGTACAGGCATCCAGAGGAGGGATGACGTGGGTGGCCAGAAGCTGCTCAGCAGCATCCGAGGAGAAGAAAACAATCCCACAGACCTGTCAGGGCACGGCAGGGCTGAGGCTGCAGCTGTGGTGACACAAGGGATGGTGCTGGCAGGGTCACCAATGCCCAGGTCATGCTGTACCAGTGGGACGGTGCCATCAGGCCCTGCACACTGCTGGATCCGGGCCTCTGTGCCTTTGTAGATGATGTCACGCACCAGCCCCTGCGAGTGAGACACCCCAATGAGCTCCTCAGGGAGCCCCAAGCCAAGCAGCCACAGCTGTGCTGGGACCGCAGCAGCCAAGGGATGAAGGGGTGGGGACCTCCAAGGAGTGTCCCTCGAAGGGTGAGCTGCCACCAACCTGCTCATCAGTGAGGTAGACCCCGTGGTTCCTGGCATACACTGGGCTCCCGGGCACCGCGATCACTCTGACGCCCTGGAAGCCATCCCAGCTGATCCCTGGGGAGAAGGACAGAGACCAGTGCCCACTGGGGCAGTGCACGTACCCACACTGAGCACAGCTGCCTGAAAACTGGGCCCACGGCAGAGGAGGTGACATCACCATCCAGCCTGGGCCACCTTACAGGTGCTGCCGACCACACACGGGACAGGAATGCCCGAGCACCCGCACCCTCGTGGGAGCACAGTGCAGGCTCAACCAGCTGTGCTGCTGGCTCAGAACCCTGTCCCAGGCCAAAGCAGGAGCTGGAAGCAAGGCTAGCATTCACTGACCTGGTGCCGAGGGCACGGTGAGGAGCATGTCGGTGCTGCAGACCCAGACGCCAGGCGGGGAGCCCACACAGAGCTGCTGAGAGAAGGGCCACGTGCCCAGGGATGGCAGGCAAGGGGCCCGGCCCTCGCGGGGCACCCAGCACCCCTCCCACCATTTTGGGAGCTGAACCCACCCCCAGGGCCCCTTCCCCAGGCCACACAGACCCGGTGTGTCATGGTCCCCAGCAGGCTGTCCAGGTTGCAGACCAGCGCCTCGGCCGGGGCGCCGGGCTCCTCCGCGGGCAGGCAGGTGAAGGCGCGGCCGCAGTCGTCGAAGGAGAAGTCGCGGCCCTGGTGGGACGGAGAACGTGGCGGGGTCAGCGGGAGGGAGCGGGTGCAACGCGGGGTCCCACGCCAGGCTGCAGGTCGGCTCTCACCATGTGCAGGATGAGGATGCGGGCGTCCCTCAGCACGTCAGCGGTCACCACCTGGCAGGGGACAGTCGGGACAGTCGGCGGGGACGGCACAGACACTCCCCTCCCTTCCAGCCCCCCCCAAGGCTGCCAGCCCTCACCGTGCAGCCGGCGCGGGCGCTGAGGTGCTCGGCCGCCACCAGCAAGGCGTTCAGGGTGGCACCGCCGCTGCCCAGGCGGGCCCAGGGGTCCTCCACGGCCAGGAGCAGCGCGGGGGGGCGCGGGCCCAGGGCGCCCCGCAGCCGCCGCACCTCCAGCTCTGCCAAGCGAGAGCGGGCGCCGCTGAGAGCCGGTCCCCGCCGCCCCGCCGCGGCGGGCAGGGAGGGAGGGAGGGCGCCCGCCCCGCCGCTTGCCTCGCTGCAGGGCGGACACGGCGCCCTGGCCGCGCCGGCAGGTGAGGAGGAGCGCGCTCCACTCCGCCGCCATGACCACCGCCGTCCCCGCCCCACCGCTGCGGGGCCTGCTGGGAGCTTTAGTCCAGCCCCCGCTGCCGCTGAGGGGCGCTGGGCGAGGAGGGACTACAACTCCCAGCGTGCACTGCGCGGCCGGGCACGGGCCGCTTAAAGGCACAGCGCACTCCGGTGCTGCTCCCCCCGCTCCCCCCTCCCCCAAAATCCGCCTCTCCCCTCTCGCCAACCCGGGGGGCTTGCAAAGGGGGAAAGGGGGTTTTGGCGTTTTCTGATCTAAAATGGGTCCCGGCGCCGGCGCGCACCCCTAAGCGCCCTAAGTCATCCCTGTCACGAGCCTGCCCGGACTCAGCCCGGCTCCTCGCAGGGATCTCGGCAGCGAGGGGATGGGCGCGGGTGTCGGTGCCCAGTGGGGGTCAGGGCGGGTACCCGGTGGGTGCTGGGGTTCGATCGAGGTCGGTACTGGGGGATGCCGGTGCGGTGGAGTGGGTACTGGGGTGAATAACAAGGGGTGGGTACTGGGGTACCGATGTCCCGGACTGGGGACCGGGGTAGATACCGGAGATGCCTGAGAGCCAGGTGGGTACAGGGATGGGAACCGAGGTACGTACCGCAGTGGGTACCGGACTGGGTAACGGGAGTGTGCAAGGTGGTACGGATGCGCCGGGTGGCTACTGGGGTGGATGGATCCCGGTGGATGAGTACCGGGGGCTGAGTACAGGGGATGCCGATATGCCGTTAACTCAGGCTGGGGTGCCGATGTGCCGGGGTGAGTACCGGGCTGGGATCCCGGAGATCCCAGTGCGGCGGGTGGGCGCAGGCGGCCCCGCTCGCCTCCTACAAGTCCCACAAGCCCCTCCGGGAGGCCAAGGACTACATCTCCCAGGCTGCCGGGGCCGGCCCCCCGCCCCGCACGGCACGGCACGGCCCCGCACGGCGCGGAGGGCGGTGGCGGCGGCGCCCGGGTGAGCCCGGCGGCGGGGCCGTGCCGGAGCTGAGCCAGGTACCGCGGCGGGGACGGGCCCGGGGCGGGGGTGCGGGCACGGCTCGGCTCGGCTGGGCTCGGCTCGGGGCACCGGTGCCGGGGAGGCGGCGGGGATGGCGGGCTGCGGCGGGGGAGCCTGACCGGGAGTGCTCCGGTGCTGCGGGCTGGTCCCGGGGCTGGGGGCTGGCCCCGGGGGGCATCCACACGGGGTGCGTTGGGTTCAGCCCCGGCGTGGTGGTCGCGGTTGTTGGCCCCGCTCCTCGGTGCAGGTCCCGGTGCTGGCGGCCGGTCCCGCTGCTGGGAGCACCCACCCGGGATGCGGTGGGTGCTGAATAGCCCCGGGAGGATGCGCTGCCCTGGGGTGCTGGCCTCGAATGTGGGCGCAGGTGCGGGTCCTCGGTGCTGGTCTCGGTGCTGGGTGCTGGCCGCCGGGAGGATCCACCCGGGATGCAACGGGTTCGCACCCGTGAGGTTGCGCTGGCCCGAAGTGCTGGCCCGGGCCCTGCGGTGCTGGCCCCGGGGAGGATACGCTGGCCCCGGCCGCGGGCTGCAGCTCCAGGGTGCTGCCGGGGGGGATGCGCTCACACCGGGGAGGATGATGGCCCTGGCAGGGGTGTCGGGGCTGGGGCTCATGGAGCTGCTTCCCTCCAGCCGAGTGCCCCGGGATACTGTGGGCAGAGCTGGGGTGGCCACAGAGGGGACCGCGGTGGGAGGGCTGTTTGCGGGTGACCCCGGTCCCCACCGGTGCCAGTGTGAGGTCCCTCAGCAGCAGTGTGACACATGGCTGCGTGACACATGGCGTCCATTGCATAGGTAGTGGCAGCCAGGATTTCACAACCAGCCTGAGCGTCCCTGGGGACAGGGTAGGAAACTGTGTCACGGAGCAGGGGATGTCCCTTGCCTGCTTCTGTTTGTGAGTGGGGCACCAGCACGGGCACTGGTGTGAGATCTCATTGGTGTGCCTGTCCCACTGTTTTGTGGTGTTTCCCTGGCTGAGGCACGGCTGCCAGAGAGGAGTTGGTGCCAGAGCCTGGATTTCAGGGCCTGGTGATGCAAGGGGTCCTCACACGTGCCAGGGGCTTGGGTGCTCCTGGCGCAGGGGAAAGGCAAGGTTTTGCTCAGGCTCCAGCTGCAGAGTCAGAGCTCTTATCCCAAAGCTCCCAAATATTTCCCTGGAGCAAGGGCTTCCCATCCCAGCAGGAGAATTTTTAGGGGGGAGGACATCACTCCGGCAGCGTGCAAGCTCAGACTGGAGGAAGGGCCGCGTCCCCTCCTGCTGCCAACAATCATAACACGTGGCCGGGGGGAACCAAATCACACCAACCTCCCAAAACTTGCTGAGATTCCCTCCAGGAAGACGCGTGGGCTGACGGAGGCAGTTTTGCCCCGCATTATCTGGGGCTCCCCCGTTTCCAGCCCTGAGTGGCCAAGGCGGTGAGAGCCGACGGGAAGTTCCTCAGCGCTTTGGGCTTGGTTTTCCTTGTTCTTCTCCTTCCATCAGAGCCAGAGGTCGCGGCGGCAGCGGGGAAGCTCGGGCTGGGGGGGATTGCCTTGCCCGCCACCCCCAACCCCACCCCAGCCGCGCGCGTGCCCGTCTGTCTGTCTGTCTGTCTGTCTGTCCCCATCTGGCAGCGAGCGGCGGCCCCGCTGCCGGTTGTGTGCGGCAGCTGCCTGTCAGGAGCGTTTCCCTCTCCTCCGAGGAGCTCATGGCGGTTCTCGGGAACGGCGGGGCGCGCTCCGCTCACCGCCCACGCCTCGCCGGCGCCGGAGGCAGGCGGGGAGAGCCCCGGCAGCCGCACGCTGGGGGAACGCTTGGATTGTCATGCCCAAACAAGCCCCAAACGGCCGCTTTTTCGGTGGAGGGCTCTGGCGGTGCCGAGGGCGCGATGGTTTCGCTGCGGGCTCTCGGCGCGCCCGATGCTGCCCAGCTCGGCACACCGAGGTCCCGGCAGCTCCACGGCTTTCCTCTGCTCCCGCTGCATTAAATTCTTGCGCGAGTGCAAACTGCGAATTGCTCTCTTGGCCGGCTTCAGTGCTTCTTCGTGAGCCGGGATTTATCAGAGCCCGCTGGACCCCGGGGGCTTGGGATGTGGTGGGAGAGGCTGGGAACCTCCTCTCCCTGCCCTGCTGGGCTCTGCGCTGCCCTCCGGGACACCTCCTGGCTTCATGTCGCTCTTTGCCGTCGGTATCTTCCATAAGCTTTTTTTTTTTGGAAAATGCAAGAGATTTAGGTCCCAGCTCTATGGCAAAGTTCCCAAAGATACCCCCAAAACAGCACATGGATAAGCGGTAAATATATACAAAAATTTATATCATCTATCTGTATATCTGCACTGTGATGTATGGATTTTTTTTTTCTTACTGGAGGGGTGGTTCAGTGCTGGGGATCTAAAATAACCCCCTCAACAACCGCTCTTGGGAAACCAGAACAAGCTGCAGTCACTTTGCTCCGGGTGCCACCATGTCCCCACCAAAGGACTTTTTTGATCTGCAGCAGTAATTGGGCTAATTAGGAAGCTGGAAATGCTCCCCCTTCTCCCCAGGTGTCTGAGCAGAGCCCCAGCTAGCAGAGAGAAGTCAGGGGCCCTTGCCAGTGGAACTGCTCTAATTTTACATTTAATGGGTTCCTAGCCATGACTGACTGACATTTAATGGGAGTCCCTGGCTGTAACTGGGCTGTGCTGGGATTGATGGCCTCTGGCCTGGGAGGCCCATAACTTCCCTGTGATAAAATCTCATAGGTACAATTTCCCTAATGACATCAAAGGCCTCTGGGTGTTGCCTGCAGGCAGAGCAAACCTGGGCTGGTTTACCCACAGTGTGAGCCAAGTTTGCAGTTCTCAGCTCGGGCTGTGCCCCAGGGGAGAGGGGGCGGCTGTGGGTCACAGCACCCATTAACCAGCCCTCGAGAGCCAAAGGAAAGCCTTTGGTTTTCCACTGCCTCCCAGCCTCGGTGCTCATGAGACCCAGGGTGGAGGAAAGGAAAGTGCAGTGGGCCCCCTGTCCCTGCTCACCTTCCCAGGGCAAAGGGCCACAAACGGCAGCAGCGGCAGCACCTCCCTGGTGCAGCATCCGCCCGTCCCACACTCCTGCACATATTTTCCTGGTGAGGCATCAGGCACAAACCTTAAGGTCCCAGGCTGGTAAAACGAGCAGCAGTGGTGGAGGGAGAGTGGTTCCTTCCTGACAGCCAGCAGGGACGCTCGGGGTGCTGCCGGCGGCTCCCGGGGTGCTGTGGTGATGGATTGGGAGCAGGGGCCCTGCCCGTCCTGGGGAGCATGTCTGTGGTGTGGCCACGTCCTTGCAGGCACCTGAGGAGGGAGGGAGACTGATTCAGGGGTGTCTGTGGGATGCAGCACCAGGCAGGGAGGGGGACACAGACCAGGCAGATTGTGCTGATCCCAGTCTGCGGCTGTGGGAGGGTGAGGTGGAAGTGTGGCTGGCAGCGGGCAGCCGGCTCCCCTTGGGGCCAGATGGCTTTGCACGGGGAGAGTGCCCACCCAGCATGGCCCTGTCAGGCAGCTCAGGGTGTTGGAGCTGATGTAGTTCCCCAAGGGCTCCCACTGCGGTTGAGCCGAGGGGCTCAGGATGCTGCTGAACCAGTCCCTGCAAGACCCATCCACCAGCAAGGGTGGGAGCCTTCTATTCTGAGCTTTCCCACTGCTGGCACTCCCCTGTGCCCCCAAATCCCATAGGAAATGGCCTCTGCGAGGCTGGCTCCATCCCAGCTCCGTGCTGGGGATTTGGTCTCCACGCTTGTTCCTGGCCTTATCCCAGTGCCGAGGGACAAACCCAAAATAACCCCTCCAGAGGCCAGGAACAAGGAAAGGCTGGAATTGCTGCTCTTGGCAACCAGGGGTGCAAGTAGGGTTTAAAACATGGGAAACCCAATTAACTTGGCTCCATTAGCTGATTGAGCTGGCTGATAAGAGTATGATTAATTAAAAGGATGAAGAATAAGTTACCAGGTCTTCACTGCTGTCGGGATGTGGCAATGGCCTAATGCATGAAATTGGCTTCTTCTCTTAATACCTGGTGCTCAGCTACTACTGGCCATCGGTCCTGCATGGCACTGATCCACAGCAGGGAGAAACATCCTTGTGCCAACACCGGGTCTGCTCCCTGCTCCTCTCCCATCCAGCTTCCAGGGACGAAAAAAAATTCACGGGGAAAATACAATCCCTCTGGATGGGCAGTGCAGGAGAGAACCTTCTTCATTACCTGTGCTGTTCTCGCCAGCTCTTGGTCAGGCTCTGGAAGCCCCGTGATGCAGAGGGACAGGGTATGGTCCCTTCCAGGCTAACAGGAGCTGACGTGGAGACAAGTGGGGCGCGTTCCTCGGCGCTCTGCCCACGGGGCTGCAACCTCCAGCGGCGCTCGGGCCTGGCAAGAAAGGAAATTAGAACAGTTTTATACATTTTTGTAATAATCCAGCTCGCTGAAGTTGGGTCTGAGACAAGGACAGGTCACCACTCGGTGTTTCTGCCTGGGGCTGAAGGAGGTGGGAGAAGACTGAGCTCACATCCACTCCTTCCCTGTCAAAAAAACCCCCAGCCCTAACTCTCAGTTTTTCCATCATGACAGCAGGAGAGATGCTGGTCTGGTCCAAGGGGTCCCTGTGTGCTTCCCCCTCTTCCCCATGCAAGAGCCATGCACCACTCTGGCACCCCGTCAATGGTTTGGTGGTGGCAGAAGTGATGTCCCTGCACAGGGGCCATGGGATGGGTGGCACCCGGTCACCTGCATCTCCTGAGGACTTCCAGGGGAATTTTCAGCCCCGTCATCCCTGGGAAGAGCAGCGGTTGGTGCGGGCAGTGCTGCCCCTGCTCCTCCACTCCCCTCCTCTCCCTGCCCCGAACAGGGTGACATCCCATCTCCCAGTGACAGCTCCTTCCTGTGCCCACCCTGCCATTTACCAGCATGGAAATTGGTGCCAACAACCTCAGGATATCTTAGAAACGAGCAAACAAAAGCAAAAAGACCTTAAGATGCTGGGTGGGGATGTGCCTGGTGGCATTACAGCTGATGGGGAAGGGACAGGCATCCTCCAGGCCCTGGGGCTGTCGGTCACATCACTCCAGCACTCGTCCTGAAATGAAGGATTGTATGATTGGAAAAAACCATCCAGCTGTAAAAGCAGCAGAGCAATTTGCTGGGACCTTTTAATAGCCTCGTTTCATTATCTCCTGCAATCAAAGAGAAACTTGTGTTTGATGAGCACAGGGGACCCAGGAGACAATTTAGGATCCTGGGGATGAATTTGGGAGTGGAAGGGTATTTAGTGGCATGGCTGGGTTGCTGGGCTTACTCACCACAGGAGAAATCCTGAAATCCCTTGTTATTTTAAGAAGGAGCATCAAAAATCTGGTGCAAAGTGCTCCTGCAGTGAGGTTTTATTTGTGGAGGCGGGTTGGGTTAGGATTGGGCAGGGAGGGCATGGAAATTGCCGGGGTACATGTGGATGTGTGGGTGCCCTGTGCCTGCTGGGGGCTGTAAGGACCAGTGCAGATGGAAATAGCTGCCAGCTCCTGCTAGGAAAATGATGACTCAAACCAGCCGCTGGGATTTAAGGCTTCTTTTACTGCGCATGAGCTGGGCTGGAGGGGGGGGTTTCCCCCCGCTGTGGTCGGGGGCAGTTCCGGGAGGCCCCGGGTCGGGGGGGACCAGCACAAAATGTGCTCCAGATGCTGCCAGGGCTGGGATGCATCAGGCAGGACCGGGCTGTGCTGGGGAGCCGGAAAGGGATTTCCCCCTTTTCACCAGGAACAAAAATAACACAAGCACACGTGATAGCTCATTTCCTTTAGCCTTTAAAAAGCCCCGTGGGACGGGCGGGAGCAGGGGAAGGGGCTCTGCCCATCCTGCCTGGCGTCCCCTGCCACGTCGCAGCTGAAAAAAAGCACAAAAATCGCCTTTTACCTCCAAATCCTTCCAGTGTTGTGCATCTGGGGGGGGGAATATACCTTTTTACTGGCTTTATCCCAAACTCCCCTATATGCAAAACAACCACCCTACTCTTCCCTCTGGCAGCAACCCAAGGAACTCGTTTCAGTCACTTCTGGACATGTGTGTGGCATGTAGTTGTGTTTAAATGCCTCCCCCAGAGCCTGGGAAAGGACTTGGACTGGGATGTGCCCTTGGGTTTTGGCTCTTTCCTTTAAAGACTGTCACCACTTGAACAAATATTTGACAGTGGGTTAAGGATTTGGGCAGGAGGCATCCATGCAATGGGCTAGGGGAGACTCCCAAGGAGTTTTTGGGGAGTGCAGCAGTCTCTGTCCCTTGTAAGAAAACCAGCGTCTTCCAGAGGATGTTTTTCCTAGGGGAGAGGCATCCTGGTGCCTGCTAGCTCCTAATTAGTGCTGCCAGCCTCATGCTGGCCTAGCTGGGGCCAGGGCTGAGCTGTGGAGATGATGCCACTGCAGGGTTTGGCCTTGGGGGGGGTGTCATCCTCTCCTCAAAAAAGGCCTGGAGGGGAGGTCACATCTCCATTCCCGAGATGCTGGATCCTGTCCCACCTCAGTAACTGGGCTGAAAGGGGATTTTCAGCCTTTTTTTTAAATTTGGCCAAGGAAGGGGGTCTGGCTTTGCCCTCCCCCGGCTCGGGGGGCTCGGCCACCCCTCTCGTCCCTGCCCGGGCGCAGGCGCCGGCACCTCTGCCCTGGCTATTTTTACCCGCCGGGATCACGAGCGAGCGGGTGACCTTCCCTGGGGGATGCTGCCACTCGGGGTGGGGGGACAGGCCCAGCGTCGGTCCCCGGGGTGCCCGTCAGGCTGCGGAACAGTCGCTTCCCGGCTGTCTCGGCGGCGGCAGCAGCCGGCGAAGAGGGTTTTGGAGGGGCTGCTCATGGCGTGATAGAGAAGGAGGATTGAGCCTACAGAAAGGAGCCCCTTGTTCGGCTCCGTACGCGAGTTCGTGGCTGAGCCTTTGTCTGGCAGGGACAGGGAGGGCACAGCCCGGGAGCTGCGGGGGTTTCCCCGGCACAGACAGCACTGCCGGCACCTCGGCTCCCTTCGCACCGTGCGCCGGCTTGTCCCCTTTGGAGATGGCTCGTACCCTGTGCCAGGGATGGCCCGGGAGCCCTTTTGTCGCGTTCAGTGGGGAATAAACTCCCGAGCCCCCGGCGCCCTCCTCCAGCCCTGCCGGCTGTATCGCCGCCCCGTGACCCGCTGTCCCCTCCTTCCCGCCCCAGGCCGGTGTCGTGGTGGCCGCGTTCCCGAGCCAGGAGCTGCGGGCCCGGTGCCAGCGGATCGGCTAAACCCGGGGATGACGAGCACCGTGGCAGCTGAGCGCCAGCCGGGGCCGGGACCCGGAGGAGCCGCCGGGACGCGGTGCCGCGGCTGAGCCCGGCGAGCCGAGTCGTGCCCGAGCCCCGCGGCCGGGGCCAGCAGCAGATGCTCCCTACCTGGCACTCGGAGCCACCGGGGGCCCTCGCCGCGGCTGAACAACGCGGATGGAAAGCTGCAGCCCAGCAGGTAGGAGCCCGGCGCGGTGGGGCACGGGGGGCTCTACCTCACCCCCCACCCCACTGCCACCGCAGGGAGTTAAAGCTCTCGTTCCCGCAGGGAGCCTTGCTGGCCGGCTGACACCATCCCGCGCCCTATGCCCGCGCCCTGTGCCGGAGCGGGCGCCGTCCCCGGCTCAGCCACCCGCCGACCATGAAGTGCTCGCTGCGCTTCTGCTTCCTCTCGACCGCCTTCCTGCTCGTCTTCGTCATGTCCCTCCTCTTCACCTACTCCCACCACAGCATCGCCTACCTGGACCCCGGCGGGCTGGGCGGCATCCACCGGGTGAAGTTGGTGCCCGGCTACGCCGGAATGCAGCGGCTCAGCAAGGCGGGGCCGTACCCCCGGGGCTGCGCCTGCCGCCGCTGCCCCGCCGAGGAGCCCGGGGCCACCGACTGGTTTGACGGGCGCTATGACGGCAGCGTGTCCCCGGTGTGGACCAAGGAGAACATGGACCTGCCGCCCGATGTGCAGAGGTGGTGGATGGTGAGCACAGGGATGGGAATGCTGTGATGTGCTCTGGCACGGGGGGTCACTGGCTGATGTCCCCCTACCTTCCTTCCCTCCCTGCAGATGCTGCAGCCCCAGTTCAAGTCCCAAAACACCCACGAGGTCCTGAGCAAGCTCTTCCAGATCGTGCCAGGAGAGGACCCCTACCGCTCCCGTGACCCGCGGCGCTGCCGCCGCTGTGCCGTGGTCGGCAACTCAGGCAACCTGCGTGGCTCCGGTTACGGGCCAGAGATCGACGGGCACGACTTCGTCATGCGGTGAGGGAGGGTCGAGGAGCACTGCCGGGGGCACTGCCCACCCCCCAGCCCCACGGGCAGCTCAAGATGCTGGCACCTCTGGGTGCTGGGATGGGTGGGAGTGGGTCCAGCCCTGCCACCTCCCCTGGGCTGGCTGGGGGGGACCCTCATGTCATCCCGGCGCTCTGAGCATCAGCAGGCTGGGAAACTGCCCCTTGGCAGCATTCGGGGGACATCCGTGTCACCTGCAAGACACGGGGGGAATGGGAGGGTGGTGTGACCTTCCCGGCTCTCTCCCAGGATGAACCAGGCCCCCACAGTGGGTTTTGAGGGCGACGTGGGTGGTCGGACCACACACCACTTCATGTACCCTGAGAGTGCCAAGAACCTGCCCGCCAACGTCAGCTTCGTGCTGGTGCCCTTCAAAACCCTGGACTTGCTCTGGATTGCCAGTGCCCTCTCCACTGGCCAGATCAGGTTGTAAGTACCCAGTGGGCACCAGCAGCACCAGACTGGTGACTCACCTACCTTGGGGACAGCTCCCCTGGGAGCAGTGGGCATTCACTGGTTCCTCCCTCCCAGAGCATCCCTTGGCAGCTCAGGCTGGAGATGGGGGTGTGGGACCCCTGAGAGCTCACCTGCCTTTCCTCTTTTCCCAGCACATACGCGCCTGTGAAGCCTTTTCTGCGTGTGGACAAAGAAAAGGTACGGGGGGCTCATCCCCACAATGCCATAAGCACCTATTTGGCCACGGCCCCTGTTACCCCATCAGCCCCCAGGGTTCCCAGTGCTCCTTCCCGGGGTGCCAGTGCTGACTGGGACGTGGCTGGGGCTCCAGCACTAACCTCAGCCTGTCCTCCCAGGTACAGATCTACAATCCTGCCTTCTTCAAGTACATCCACGACCGCTGGACGGAGCACCACGGGCGCTATCCCTCCACTGGCATGCTGGTGCTCTTCTTCGCCCTCCACGTCTGCGACGAGGTAGGTGATGGCTCCTTCAGCTCCCGGCTGGCACGGGGTGGGTTTGCTGGGATCCTGAACCTTGCAGGGCTAAGGAGGGAGGTGGATTCTTTGGGTCCAACCGCAGCAGCGTTCACTTGCTCTAGTTGCTTGACACCACGGTAATGGGCACCCTTGAGGGGTGGGAAGGCTGTGCAGGGAGACAGGGAAGAGAAAAATCACCCTGGCATTGCAGCAGGTGCCCAGACAAGGGGGTTCCCTGGCCTGGGGATGGGTTCTGGCTCACTCCCTTCCTTGCCCCTGCAGGTGAACGTCTTTGGGTTCGGCGCTGACAGCCGGGGGAACTGGCACCACTACTGGGAGAACAACCGCTACGCGGGGGAGTTCAGGAAGACGGGGGTGCACGATGCCGACTTCGAGGCGCACATCATCGACATGCTGGCCAAAACCAGCAAGATCGAGGTTTACCGGGGCAACTGAGGGCTGTGCCGCCCCCGGCTCCCTGCTCTGCCGGGTCCTGCTGCCTGCGGGGCAGAGGGCGAGGGGCTCCCTGGTGGCCTCGGGTGACGAACACCAGTCGGGCAGCGCCGGTTCCGCGCCGCTGACAGAGCCACCCCGGCGATATTTGGTGCCTCCAGCAGCCAATCAGGTTCAGAGCTAAAGGAGACTTTTTGCTTTTTTTTTTAAATAATTATTATTATTATTATTATTATTAAGAAACCCAGCTGAGAAGGGATTTATAAACACAATCAGCGACTGACCAGGCGGCGGGGGCGGCCGCCTCACATCTCTACAGTCAAACCAAATGCTGCTCTTTTTAAAACAAGACAACCCCCCACCCCGAAGCTGGGTGACTTTGGGGAACCCCTCGAGCACCAGCGTCTGGGCCGAGGGGGCTGAGGGAGCCGTGGCGGCTGCGCAGCCTCACCAGTGGAACCGGCTGCTTCTTTTTTCCTCTGTTTTGGGTTTTTGTTGTTTTTTGTTTTTTTTTCCCACCTGGGGCAGCCGATGCCTCGTTTCTCCGGAGAAGGCTCCCAGCAGAGGCAGGTCCCAGCACATGGATCCGTAGGGAGCTGGCAGCTGCAGGAAGCCGATCACTGCCGATGCTCCACTGCAGGCTGGTGATCACTGGCACAGCCGGGCTGGGAGATGAAGAGGAACCCTGACTTCAACACCCAGGATCTCTGCTCCTCTACCCGAGGACTGAGGAAGGATATGACAGATTTTGGGAGCGACTGTGCAGGAGGCAGCTCAGAAACCCACAGGAGCAGCAGCCCAGTCCCTCTGGCTGGGCTCTGTGAGCAGTTGCAGGATTCACAAGGCTGTGGGATGCAGCAGGGTCAAGGAGACAGGATTTCCTTCGCTTTCAGGCTGGGAAAAAACAGATTAGAGATAGCTTTAGAGGGTGATTGAACCTTGCTTTTGCTTTTGTGTTGCTCTAAAGAGCTCTGGTGAGAAGCTGAAATCCCAAAGTCTGCTCCATTTGCAAGGGTGGCACTTGGTTTAGACCACTCTGATACAGCTGGTGCCCTCAGGGTCCCCAGGGCTTCCCAGGCTGGACAGGCATGAGACAGGGAGATGCTGAAGGAAACTGCCTCCCCAGAGGTGTCATTAAAACCACTTTTCTTTGGGTCAGTCAGATGGGTGGGGGTGTTTTTTTTGGTTTGTGGTTTGTTTTTTTTTAGGAGGTGCTGTAAAGCTCAAGAAAAAGGCAATGATGGAAAAGGTCCCCCAGAGAGGGACCCCCCACCTGTGCAGCTGGTGCCAAGAGTGGGGTGGGGGCTGTGGGGTTGTGCCCAGCTGGGGAAGCCCTGCCCACACTGCCTGGTTGCAATAGTTGTTTGAGGAACAATCACCACAGGGTTTTTTTGGGCTTTGAGGATTTTTACCCTTTTGTGTCTGGCTTTTCTGTAGCAGCCTCTTACCTGTTTCTCTGCTTCAGTTTGGTTGTTTTTCAGGGTTTTCTTCTCTTTTTTTCTTTGAGGTTTCTCTCTGCAATTGTCAAACACTAGGGTGTGGGTTGGTCACCTGGAGCAGGCACTCAGGAGCCCCTGGGCTGGGGAAATTCAGCTTTTCTGTCCGCAGGGCTTTAAACCCTTGAATTTTGTGGTGGGTTTTGGTAGGTGTGGAGCTGCCCCAGCGCTGGCAGCCCCGAGCCCCGGGGCACAGAGGCAGGTGGCAGCGAGCCCTGCTCTCCACCTTCCTGGGTGGCTTTTTAGTTTTTGTTTTGTCTGGTTTTTTACGGGGAAGAAAAGTAAAAACCACAAAACCACAAGCAACAACGAGTGCCTTGACCATCTCCCATCGGCCATGCCAGGCTGTGCCTGCTCCCGTGCCGGCAGCAGGGACTTGGCCAATGTGTCTGGCAGTCGTACCCACCTCCCTCCTCACACCAGGCTGGATCTTAGTTGGGAAGAGAGGGACACATCCAGGCCACTATACTGGTGGCTAGAAAGGCCAAATCTAGTGTGATGAGGCCAGACCAGCTCCTGTTAGAGCTGAGCAGGGCCCGGCCTGACAATCACAGGGCAAGTGGAGGTGCCAAGCCGGGGTACCAAACCCTGCAGCAGCACAGTGCTGGCACCTGGCGAAGGGCGTGTTCACAGCTCGGGGCTGCCCTGACAGTAGTTTTGTTTTTTTTTTTTTGCTAACTTCCTTCCCCTACCCCCTCTTTTTTTTGTTGTTGTTTTAATTATTATATTATTATTATGTTTTATTTAAGCTGTCCCACCAGGACTGGCGAGCACTCGCGTTCCGCGGGCAGGGCCGCAGGCAGGAGCACGCGCGGCCGGCGCACCACTGTACTGTACATAGAGGAGATGTAGGCAGAGGCTACGGGCAGGGGGGCAGGCAGGGAGGGGGTGCCCAGGCTTGCCCACCTGGCAAAGGTTAGTCTGCATCACGCGGTGCCTGATCCGAGCACCCGTCGCCTCCCGCCCCGCCGGGACCGGGAGAGACCAGTGCTCTGACCTAGGGCTGGGAGCAGGCGGGCAGCTCAGCCCGTAGCCTCTGTGTACATGGGTACTTCTGCACACAACTGTCTTAAAACAACTGTTTTTTTTAAAGGACAATAAAAACCATGCATCAAATCTGCTTGGGGGTTTTCGTCTGGTAGCCCTGACTGCTGTGCCTTTGCCTGCACCCAAACGCGGTCACGAGAGGAGGGAAAGGGAATGGGAGGGTTGGTGGGGCCCAAGTGCTCTGCTCTCCCCTCCTCTCCCGGGCCAGACATCAGGCACCATCTGTGGGTAATCCCCTCCACTGGGGCAGGAGCAGAGCCTGGCCCCACACTGGCCTGGGTGCCCAGCAGCAGAGCCCTGGCACAACCCCTCTGTCCAGACCCCGTGGTTGGTGATGGCACTGCTCACCCAGACCCCACACTCATGTCCCAGCCCCCCGGACCCAAAAACAGAGGCCCTGGGCCAACAGAGCCCATGTCCTTGAGCCCCAGAAGAGCACACAGGGCTCTTGCATAACAAATGCTCAAATTCAGGAGTAGTTAAAATGCCTCTTTATTAATATACAAACCTAGCAACATTTAAGCCAACCAAAATATGAAATGAAATCAAGCATGATATAAATACAGCATATATGACAACATGGCCTCAGTGGGGAGCAGCAAACTCACCCTGACTTGTGCGCTTGGGAACAACTGTCCACGTCCTCCTCCACGGGGTCTGGCAATCAGAGCAGCCTCGTCTCTCCTAAACCCCCTCGAATCCAAACCCTGCAGAGGTGAGACCACTGCTCCCCACAAAGGCAGAGCACCTGGCACAAGGTTTCTCTGACCCCACATTGCAAAGAAAGAGCCTCCCCAAGCTGCCAGAGCCGACCTGCTGGCATTTGCTTGCCAGGCCCCTGCGAGGGGAGAGGGTGTAGTGGATGGGGAACCGTGCTGCTGAAAGCTGCTCCTTGCTCTGTCCCACCTCAGCTAGATCCATTGCACAACATTCACAGGCGTAAGGCACTAGAAAAGTGTTTTCACAGGTTCAAACTTCAGTTGTTCTTAAAATTTCGGTAGCAGCACTCATCAGAAATCCTCCCAGCCCTTTAAAATCTGTTCTTGGGAGACAAAAGCATGAAGGGGTTTGGATGAGCGTCCTGCTGCAAGCCTGACCAAGAGACAGAGAACCCATGACAGACTTCAGGGACATTACCCTGCCTCTGGTTTCACTGGAAGAAGTGAAATCTGCTCCACTACGGGAAGAGTATGGAATTTGAGCGTGGAAAAAATCTCGGCGGCGGCAAGTAAAAAGGCAGACAGCACAGGATTCTTCTCACACACACAGAATGGATCAGGTCCTGGCTGGGATGGCTGATGACTCCCAAGTATCTGCTCTGCTTGTAGCAGGTGTCAAGAGTTCATGGGGGAAGATCAACTGTTACCAGCATGGACAAATCAGTAAGTATGGCTGTGAACACCTTCCTGATGATTCCCGCTCCTGCTCGCGGGGATTCCCGATCCCAGCAGGTGGGATCTCACACACAGCACATCAGCACAGTGTGCCAGCTCTGGCTCTGCTGCCAGCACAGAAGCCAGCCTGACACTGGGCATGCAGCTCAGCTTTGAGACAAATGGGAGATGAGAAGTCTCAGAGCCATCTCAGCAAACACTGTGGGCAGCGGCAGATCCCCTCTGCTCCCACTTCTGCCGACTCCTGCCTGCAAATGTCAGATGGTACAGCAGGGAAGCAGTCAAGCAGAGAATTTTGTTTCCTTTAATGCAATGGGACACTCACAGAGTACTCTGCACCAGCCCAGGCTTCTTTAAGAAATAAGAAAACCCATTACACCATGAAGAAAAAGTGAATAAATCCGTCTCCGGAGGGAAAACAAACAGGAAGGTGTCAGCCCAGCAGCTGAACAGGCACAGGGGCTCCCAGCTCAACACAAATTCCAGCCTCACACTGCAACAGCAGCTTCCCCCATCCCCCCGTGCTTGCTCAATAGCAGCTCTGGGTGCTCACACACAGCTTTCCAGGAAGGAAATCAAATTGTACCATGGCAGGTACAGTCAGTGCCCAAACACCACACTCAGAGCTTTAAGGCATTTATAAATACTTAAAAGGGGTTTTTTACTATCAAATGCAAAGACTACTCATGCAGAGGGCTAAAAGCACTAAATGCATGGTGCTACAGCCATAATGCTTAAGGAAAGTTTAAAGTGCAAAGAAAATTTTCCAATACTTTTTAGTGACAGCTTGAAGTCATCTGATGACCCTAATCCCCTCCTTCCCCCCAAGTCCTGTTCCCTGACTGAACGCTTTGGTTTTTTTTAAATAAAAATACAAACAATCAGTTAAGGAAAAGGTACTTTAAAACAAACAAACAAAAATCTTGAAATGGGCAGAAATTAATCTAAGTATTATAATAAACTCATTTGGGAAGACAAACCTAAAGGTTGTGATTATTTTGCTCGACATTGTCAGCAGCCAAGTGTTGTGTTTTAAATAAAAACAACTTCTGCCCTTCCAAGCAGCTGCCCCCTCTCCCAACACAGAAACTACCTTGGGTTTACAGACTTCTTCCCAAAATTTAACCACCCTGGTTCATTCAAATGCCCTGGAAGGATGAGGTTAGCAGTGTCAGTGCTGTATCTTTACAGCTGCAAGAATGTGCTAGAGAGAGACCAAAGTGTTTGGGGCAATCAAGTGCTCACAGTTCCCACCTCACCTGTGTGGCACCGTTTCCTTCATCCCACCGAGAGAGAGGGAAACGTGCTTGGAAAGAAGTGCTAATGCTGTCCCAACTTGGCCCAGAGCCACGGCTCTCATCTGTCCAGCACCAAAGCTGCAGAGGAAGATGCTCCCTGAGCTGGGAATCCAGGCTGATCATCTCTCTAAGGCTGGGCTTAAGGAATTAAGTAATGGGCACCGGCTCAAACCTCTATCACGCCTCTCCTTCCACCTCAGCTCAGCCACTCTGCCTGTTTTTATTTTGCCATGCCTTGCTCTCTGATGGGCAGAAGGGACTAATGTGACTAGAGAAGTGGCAAGGACAGTGGGAAAACCCTGGCACAGGGAAAGGGAAGGTTAAATGATGGGATATACAGTGACCACAAACCTGCCTGGGAGTTCAGATACTGGTATCAGCACCATCTAAAAGCTGAAGAGCTTAAACTGATGCAGAGAAGCAGATCTAGAGCCAACCTGGCTTTCAAGACAAAGCATTAGGTAGAAGGAAGAGAAGAACCCTGTGCATGAGAAATCCTGCAGCAGCACAGGCTGGGGTTTGGAGGTGCTGCAGGAACAGCAAATGATTGGTGGCAGCTCAAATGCAACAGCAGAAAGGAGGAATCCAAGCTTACACCAGGACTTGGAGATGCAGTGGCTGTTTCACACAGCATCCCCTCCTTGCCACAAAATAAGAAACTGTCCAACAAGGCCTGTCAAATCTAGATACAGGAGGCAGCACAGGAAAAACAAGAAGAAACCAAGTCTGGCAAAAACGGATGTGAAAATGACTGTAACACATTCTCCTAAAACAGAAAACATCATTCCAAAATAGGCTGCGTTAGTTTTATCCTCAGATCATTAAATATGAACAATAAAGTCTCTCTTCTATAGTACCAGTTTTACTCAAGCCTTGCAGTACTCAAAGACTAACAAAACACGAGAACATAAGGACACAACAAGGTTAAGACAATGTCATACCTCCAGAAAAATCATTCAGTGGAAGGAAGTGGTACCTCTTCTCCAAGTTCCCCAAACTACAAACAACACTTGGGTAAGCCAGCCCTTCCCATGCATGCACATTTAGATGGATTCACTCATTAGCTTCCCTCCCAGGATGCCAGTATGAACAGAATCTACAGGGCTGTTCCCATTCTGGACAGCAAATCTCAGAGAACTGCTAACAACCCTGTGACTGACACAGGGCAGACCTGCTGCTGCTTCAGCACAGAATGAGGCTGTTTCCCCTTCCACTGCAGCAGAGAGGGATGCTGTTTTAGTGTTTCCCAGTCCAAGGTGCACAGTCTCACCATACAGAATGAGAACAAACCGCTTTTCTCAGCAGAAGGCATTTTAAGGATGAGAATCAGGATGTAGAATTTTACAGTCCATGTTATTTACCATCTTAGATGCTAAGACTGTGCCACAGCCGCTTCCAAGACCAGATTATTTAATTTTCTGATTTGAAGGTGTACTAAAGGTACTCTTCAACAGATTTTGTTGTTCTTTTTTTAGGCACTCTAATCATCAGATAAGGGATTAGTCTTACACGTCACTGCTTAATACCTCTAGAAGAAAACACTACACTAGCAGGACCTTCCTCAGTCTCAGCATCTCTATTTTAAAACGTGATCCAATTGTCCCCTTGACGGGTGTTCAAGTTGGTGAAGACAAACTATTCTTTACCACTGTAAGGTTAAAAATAGCTACACCAGAAGTTACATCGACTGAGCCTGAACATCAGCCGAAGAGCTCTGAGGTTCTGATACAAAACAAGAACCAGAATTCACAGCAGAGAAGGCCAGAGTAGGCGTTAATGAGCTGCAAGACTGACAATTACCAAACCACCCAAGTCTCAAACGGCAAACACAGCATTACAAAAAGTGTTGCTATATCTATCAGCATGGTAGAAAACTATATTCCCTCTCTATTTTTGGTATGGAAAAGTCAATAGATCTAGACATAAAATAAACCTTCCAGGCATAAAATAAACCTTAGCAGACATAATGACAAAAGTAGCTCATAAACCACAATTTTATTGTCAGAACTGCTGGAGAAGAGACACCCGTGTATGAAAAGTTGCCTGAGGAAATAACAGGCACCGATAAATTAGGGAAAAGGAAAAATAATCACAAGGAGGAATATAATCTGGCTGCAATTTAAGGCTGATCCTTCAAGAATGAGTGGTTGGTAGAGGACAGCACGCTGCTAACTTTCCTTGGTTTGGTCTTAACTAGTTCTAACCCTGCAGAGAACAAACTGAATGGTTCCAGTAAAATCTCCCTTCAGGAGTTGCATGATGCACCTCAGCACACCTTGGCCCTATATTTTTTGCCTTCTCTTGAAGAAGTATCTTGCCTCACCAGCAACAACAAACAGTCAATAAGCCCTAACCAGAAGGGCTGCTCTAAGACACACCCT